ACAGACGTGAGCAGAGTTGCGCCAAGACAATCTTCTTCGTGTCTCTTCTTTTGTCGAGCTCGCGTGAGTTCATTTGAAGCTGGTGTCGTCGCAGCAACACGAGAAGACGTGGACAAATGGTGTAATCTCGCGGACGATGCTTTCTCTACGCGCTGGCCTGCAGCGAATTCCCGACCTCGTCCCATCGTGGCACACTCAAACCGGTTCCTTTTGTAGCTCGGCCGGCAACGGACCTTATTGCACTTTAGTCGCCTGGACGAGGAAAACGGGACAATTTCCCGAAGTTTACGATCCGGTTTGACGAAGGAATCAAGTGCACAATGGAGCTTGAGGAAGAGGCACGTTCAGCTTTCGTGGATGTCCAAGTGATTCGTTCTGATCGGGCTTTCAAGGCGAACCAGTTGCGAAAGGGGTCAAACTCAATGTCCAGTCGCATGACAACCACCGGCTACAGACAGGAATAATGGGGAGCATGATCATCAGAAGCCTACGATTAGAGGTCGTGGAATTCTGGGCTGAAGAATGGGAGAAGTCGACTCAGATACGCCATGGCAACGGATACTGGAGAGAAGTGATACAAAGAAACAGACCGGCCGAGAAGGACAAATGGCATGACGTGGATTATGCAAGAAGGCAGGACTCTCAAAAGTGGATCTGTCTTGCCTCGGTTCATGCCAACTAGCCCAACAACGAATGGCAATAATTGAAAGATGTATTGTTGAAATGGCCGCAAAGAAGAAAACAGCTGCCTTCACGACGACAACTTTGTGGGCCAGGCCGTGGGGTGAGTAAGAAGTGGGTAGCAGGTAGATTGATGGGATTTATTGACGTATTGTAGCTGAGAATGGCAACAATGCAAAACGTCTGGGAATGTACCAAATTCACGCGCCGACACTGACGAGAAGGATGGCCACCAGACCCGAAGAGTTTGGACAAGGTTCGTCCAACGAAGTTGCCCATTTCTTCACATGAATAGGAGATTGCGACCATATCAAAGATGACTCCATCTTGATCTGCATATTCGCGAATCAAGAAATGCCTCATTAAGATCGCAAACAGCCTGCTTGGTACAGTCTTTTTTGGTGATGGACATCATCAGACATGGAAATCATTCGTGTCAAAAGTCTTACGTTAACAAACGATCAAGAAGACTATCCGGCTCTATCCAGATCGAATCTCTTTTTGCTGCTCTTTTGTACAAAATGAAAGTCTGTCCAACAATGCGATGCGACGAGATTCTTTGAAACCCGATTACTTTTTGTAGTGACGAGGGAGGATTGCTGCGTAAGGAAGACCGTTGAATTGTCGAAGAAGTCATCGGCTCTCCGTCCTACGGACCGTTATTCACGGACAATCGCCAAAAAATATTAAGAAACACCTCATTTTGGAGAATTCCTCAGTCATTTGT